GTGGCCCGGGCCAGCAGGTCGTGACTCCCCGTGGCATGGATGGGCCACACCGGCCTGCCCTTCTCTTCCCTCCTGGGAGCCCTTGGGGTTTCACTCATCCAGCATCATCAGGTCAGTGCACAGCCCTCAGTCTAACGCTCCAGAAGTAATTCCCTGTTGGTTCTTGATTTAAAAATTAAAAATACAATTTGTAAAAATACAGAAAAAAATAAATAAATAAAAATAAATAAATTTTAAAAATAAAAAAAAAAAAAACACAGAAAACAGCCAAACCAATTTACATTTATGAGGGCAACTCAAACAACAAAGCAGTTTCTCCAAAGCCTCGGGCTTTCTTCAAATTTGAAATGACCGTGATTTAAAGTCCCCGACTTTACTGATCTTTTCAGCAGAGCAGCAGGTGCTGGATGGGGGCATGGGGAGCAAAAAACAGGAGGAGGGCAGAGCAAACAGTCGGTGGCACAGGACACTCCATTGGGCGGGGACACGGGCCGGTGGGCCTGCTCTGGGGGCAGCGGGAGCCACAGAACAGGACACCGTGCTAGCAGAGGATGGGCTCCCTTCTGTGACACCAGGTGGCACACAGCTCACCTGCCCAGCGGCCCTGCCTGGGAGGTGCTCCCCTGGGTCCAGGTCCAGGGGCCTTGGGTGGATTTCCAAAAGCAGTACAATCGTCTGCACTTCAGCTAAATACTGAGTTGGGATTTGGGATTTGGGAGGACAGCCAGCCCTGTGTACCTCTGTCTGCTGTGTCAGTACCACACGTGGGTGTGCACACACATACTGCACAGAGACACACACATGGCACATGGGCACATGCATACTACATACACATGCACACGTGCATATCACACACATACACATATGCACAGAGGCACACATATCACATGGGCACATGCACACTGCACACACATATCACACATGTGCACAGTGTACATGAACACACATGGGCATGCAAACCGTGCACACATGCATACTATACACATATACTCACAGTCACATTTTGGCTCTAGGAAAGCTCCCCTCAATCCTGAAACATTCCTCTCCTGGGTCCTCGGGGCCAGACAAATGACCTCTCCTGCCCAACCTGCCCCACGTGCCTGGTCCATGCCTGGGTTTCTCTGTGTTCTCCCTGCATCCACAGTGTTTGCTGTCGCTTTCCATAATCCCACAACGTCAGGGAAGTGGGAAGCTACAGTCCAACCTGAAAACAGCTCATTCACAAGGACCAGAGGGTAGAGCAAGAGGTTCTACCTCCTGACCTCTGGAATGGGCCAGGACCACCTTAGGGAGACTGCCAGGGCTCCTCCCTGAGGACTCCGTCCTGCAGCTCCAGATGCACCCGGAGACATGTTTTCCCACCTCTGCCTCCCCCAGAGTCTGAGATCCACCAATACCGCTGCCTCTTGTAACATTGCGCTTGTTTTTATGTCAAGAGAATCTGTCCCCCTTTCTTCATGATGGCACAGGCTGCTTCTCAGATCATGATAAAGGACTTGTCTTTGCCCCGTTTTGCAGCCTTCTGGGGCTACCATAATAAAAGATTGCAGGCTGGGGCTCAATCACAGAATTTTTGTGGTTCCAGAGGCTGGATATGTAAGATTGAGATTCAGTAGGTCTGCCTTCTCCCAAGGCCTCCCCTTGGTTTGCAGATGGCTGCATCCTTGGTGTCACTTGCCATTCTTATAAGGACACCAGTCCTGTTGGATTGGGCTTACCCTTATGACCCCACAGAACCTTAATTACCTCTTGAAAGATACAACCTATCTTTAAATACAGTCCCACTGAGGATTAGGGCTTTGACATATGGATTGAGGGTGGGGGGTACAATTCAGTCACAGCACACACACAGATCCTGACCTCGAGAAATCCTAAAGTCTACACTGGAGAGCTAAAAGAAGCATCCAGTTCATCAGGGGAGGGTGTGCATAGCAAAAACCAGTATCAAAATGTGCCCTAAATGCTCACTAAGTTATTATAGGCACACTAACCAGGCCCCTGAAATAAAAATGTTCAAAACTAAACTTACCACCATAGGCTCTTCCTCCTGCTGTTTCAGCAGACAGTCTCCCTTTGCGTCAGTCAGGAGCAAGTAGAATGTGTGGCAGTAGCAAGCAGCCCAAGTTCTCCGAGTTATCCAGCATTTATTCTTACTTCCTTAAAAATATTCATTTATTTATTTATTTGAGAGAGAGCACAGAGGGAGGAGCAGAGGGAGAGGGAGACTCTCCAGCAGGCTCCCTGCTGAGCACAGAGCCCAACATGGGGCTCCTGTGACTCTGAGATCACAACTTGAGCTGAAACCAAGAGTTGGATGCTTACCCGACTGAGCCACCCAGGTGCCCTACTCTTACTTCTTGCTCGGCCTTTATCCCTGGAGTTGGTCCACAGACGGGCCCCTAACTCACAGCCACTCAGAGCCTCAGGCTGATGGAGCAGCTACCATCTGGAATAATTCTGGTCACTCTGCCTCAGGAAAAGTCCCCACAGGAACATGGGTAACTGCTCCAGACCAGGAGTGACACATGGGGTCCAGCTCACAACCAACTGGCCAGAATTAGTCATGCGGTTCCCACCAACTGCATAGACTCTGTGTGGGAAACACGGTTTCACGATGTGTCCCAAGGTGGCCAGAAGCCAGAAGGCAAGGGGACTGTTGCTCTGTCCACATTGGCCAGCCTCGTGGGACACAGTGCAGGCAGAGGGGATCTGGAGGGACCCACAGAAGACACTCAGCAGGTGACCTACACCCTGGCACCTCTCCAGCCGGGCCCACTGGCTGTGCTACCTCCCTGGTGGCCGCAATTCAAATAGGGATGCTTGACTCAGTCCGAGCCACTGACACCCAACGCCTCCTCCACCCACGTGGAATCTCCATGATTATCCATTCTCTGCTCCTGCAGTTTTTGTTGGCTGGTGAGACGTACACCATGTCCACCCAGTCTGAATCTTGACACAACTCCGTGTAGGGATAGGAAGTGTTAGGTGGAGGCGTGTGTGCATGTGGGGGGGGGCATGTGTGCACCTGCAGTGACCATTAGGAAGCTAATCACAATTAATCCACAAGGGAGTTTGCTGCCTTAATGAAGCCATTAGCCAAAGACCATTCTGAGAGAGAAAATGTAAAGGCTGAGCTCTGAGCACATTACCTGTAATGAAGCTGAAAATGGACTTGGGGAATTTCTGTGGTATTCTTAGCATCTGTAATGGCCAGTGAGTGAGCCGCCAGATTGCAGCCCCGGCGCCAGGAATCCTGTGGACCCAGGAGAGGAGCCAGCAGAGGGTTATTTAACTGCTGGCTGGTGGGTACAAGCATCAGAGAGAGACTGGGACTCTACTTATAACGGATGACTCTTTCAACTGTGCTCCTGTTTAATGCAAAAGGTCATTCCTGTGTCAATTGCTTCCCTGGAGAAAGAAGTGAGAAAACCTCTTTCCTTACAACTCCTGCTTCAAAGTAGAGCAGTGCTTCTGGAGACGGACTTTAGGAGAAACTGGCCCAAAGGTAAAAGGTGCTAATAGATGTCCCAAAGCCACAGACCTTTTGATTTTTTTATCTTCATTTGGCCATAAAGGGAAGGATGACAAAAGTGCAAGCAGGTAGTGCCTCCAGACTCAAAAGGGAAAGTGCTCTCTTTATCACTTTGAAAATCACTGCATGTGCGGGACGCGGGATGCTAATCATTTTGCGTGAAGTCAGTATGAGCAGGGCGAGCCAAAGTCCCCACAACTGTGATGGAATGGGCTCCCATGGGCAGCAGAGGAAGATCTCTTTGGTTTGCATGAAAGGCAGTGCCCTAGGGGTCTGGTGTCCATCACCTGGGGGTAGTGACCCTGGGCTTCAGGGGAGAAAACTGACTCCTGATCCTGTGGCAGGCATCCACTGTTGCTCTTGTTTCCTGTGTGGGAAGCTCTTCATCTCTCTTCTTCCAATAGTGACCTTTTGTCTTAGGTAATGGTGTGAGTCACAGGGGTGCCATCCTCCCCTAGACAAAGAATGGATGGGCATTTTACCCCCATGAGCCCAACCAGACTGTCCCCCCAGAGAACTTAGGTAGGTCGTCTGCAGAGGGACTCTAGAGGAGAAATGATTGAAGCTCTTCACTCTGCCCCACTCTAGAGACACTGCCCCTTCTTTCCAGTTCTCAATATCTTGGAAGCTGGCTGGGGGTCTGCATTTCCAAGGCCCACTCTAGCTTTTCCTTTGACCCTGGGGTGGCACAGGATCCAACCGAGAAGAACCTGTGTTTGTTTCCTATTGCGGGTACCAGATGAAATTACAGCTCTGGACCTCAGAAGTCAGAAATGAGTCCTATGGAGCTAAAATCAAGGTAGCAGCAGAGCTGGAGGAGCTTTCCTCTGGAGGCTCTAGGGGAGCTCCTGGGGACCCCCACCTCTCTCAGGTTATGATACTATCTTTCGGATCTCTGCCTCTGTGCCTGCCTCACCCCCTCTTCCTCTGACCCTCGTGATCACCTCCTAGGAGGACTCTCATGATTCTGTTGGGTCTGCCCCAGATAACCCAGGGTAATCTGACCACCTCAAGATCCGTAATTTATTCACAACCGCAAAGTCCCTTAGACCATATGTAACAGAACAGACTCACCCATTTCGGAGATTAGAGGAGGGGCATCCGGGTGGGGAGGCACATTTCTCAGCCCACCACTGCACCTCCTTGCTCAGACAAGCCGGAGTTCGTTTCTGTTGCCTACAACCCAAACCTAACCAATGCATCATTTTACCTGGTCTCTGCAAAAGGAGAAAACATATTTTTCGACCATTGCAGTTGGTAACCAGGAAGATGATCATAAATAAATTGTTCAGTGGTCTTGGAAAATTATCCCCCCAAATGGCCACTTTTGCCCAAGTTCCCAAGGTGAATGCTACAGGGTCTTGCTCTAAATAAGGACAGCCTGGCAGGCACTTTGGGAGCTTCCCCCTGGGTGTTCAAGAGCACTGACTAGCTCCCTTGACCCAAGCATGTCTGGTTCTTCTGGCAGGACACGGAAATTCTGAATACGGCCATCCTCACGGGAAAGACAGTGGTCCTGCCCATCAAGGTGGTCTCTGTGGAGGAGAACAGTGCCGTGATGGATATCTCCGAGTCGGTGGAGTGCAAGTCCACGGACGAGGATGTCATCAAGGTAAATGTCCTCATTAATCGTCTGGATTGAACTGATGGGGACTTCTCTCGGGCATCCCATTCCCTGAAAAGTTTCAGCCCCCACCCCACAATAAGTTCATTTAGTCAGTTTATGGACACCACACTTCCAGTTGAGCTACTAAATTTTTCCATTTCAGTCTTTCTACGTGGGCATCACTCCAAACCCGGTTTTCATCAGGTATGCTTTGGACTGGGGCTCAAGCCCCAAATACTTTACAGTAACCAAGCAGGTGATTGCAGTGGGGGCAGAGTAAGCCAGACGCAGCCTGGGCTAGAGGGGCAGAGGTATTCAGCTACAGTTCATCGTGGCCATGAGTAACTGTGAGTTCAGTACTGCTGGCTCTTCAAGAGAAACTACAGATTTGGATTTTATGTAAAGATCGCTTGTTTTTCATCATCGGCAACCAATTACAATTTTTTTAATGGGTAAAAAACCCATCCACACTGTGAGTCTGGCCCATGGGGCGGCTATTGAAACCACTGAAAGACAGACCATGAACCACGAGTCAAATCCAGCCCACTCTGTTGTGTCAATAAAGCTTTATTGGAACATGACTGCTTAAACCTATTTTTATATTGTCTATGGTGGCTCTTGCAAGGGTCACACAGTTTTGACAGAGACCACCTGACCTGCAGATCTAACACATTTGTTATTTCACCCTTCCAAGACAAAGGTTGCCTAGAGCAATCTCTGCTCTAGAATGTAAGTTTTTTGAGGGAATGACCCTAATTTGTGGTCTTTCCCACCAATATTTGCTGTGATAATGTACCCACAATGCTTGTTCAAGAATAAGACAGCATAAAAAAAAAAAAAAAAGAATAAGACAGAGACAGCATGAGGCTTTCTCCAAACCAGAAATGAACCACTTGGTCTTTCTCCATATGTTTTGTAATCCTGCAAACACACCCAGAAGAAAACATAAAGATCCAAAGCAAGCAACAAGATAATGCTTTTTTTTTCTCAAATGGGTCTGACACAGCCTCAGAGCAACACTCTTCTCTGGTGTTGAAAGCAGCACATGTAAGTAGAAGAGAATCTTACAAACTGCTGAGTGTGGGGAATGGGGTGGAAAGACCCTTCCCTGAAAACCACAGGACCCGCCCAGCCACTACCGCCCACTGCACTCAGGGCCACGGTCACAGTGGGGGGCACGCAAGCCATCTAGGTTATGACAACCCTCCAGCAGCAGCAAGGGGTCCCAGCAACACCAGCATATTCTCAACATCTCAAGGAAGAGAGCTTTTTCCTAATTCCCCCAAGAGTGATTTACTGGCTAATGGCAGCCTCAAATCTACAATGCCTTATGGGAGATCTGAAAAGAGCAGGGAGGACATGAAGTTCTGAACCATACTGTCCAAGAGAAGTGCAACGCGAGCCATGCATGTGGTTTAAATTTCTCCAACGGTCACATTCAGAAAAGAAAGAACAGGTGAAACTAATTGTTTTATTTTAAAGATTTTTATTTACTTACTTAAGAGATAGAGCACAAGCAGGGCGAGGAGCAGGGGGCGAAGCTGACTCCCCACTGGACAGGGACCCCTATGTGGGGCTTGATCCCAAGACCCTGGGACTGTGACCTGAGCTGAAGGCAAGACGCTCAAGTGACTGAGCCACCCAGGCATCCCAAAACTAATTGCTTTAAATACATATATTTAACCCATTATATTAAAAACATGATCATTTCAACACGTGATCAATATAAAAATGATGAGTGTCATGTCATATTTATTGGTACCCAGGCTTCCGAATCCAGTGTGTATCTGATGTGTAGGGTACGTGTCCGGTCTCCCTGGCTGCCGTGGCGAACAGCTCCTCTGTTGGATGGCAAAGATCTCGCCTCGGGGAGGAGTTCGCAATGTCAGCACTACCAATGCTTTGTGCCCGCTAATCTTCATTAGGGGGCTATCCTGTGCACAAGAAGTGATCCTGGCTTCTACCCAGCACATGTCTATGGCACTCCCGGGGTGGTGACAGCCACACGTGTCTCCAGACATTGAGAAGCATCCCCTGGTGGGCAGAATTTCTGCCATTAGAGCCACTACTCTCAGGGAACTGCGCTCTGTTTCTTGCTGGACAGTCACCTCACTTTCTTGTGGCCAAATCACCTCATTTTCTTGGCAAGGCCAAGGTAGGGAGAAGGCACTTGGTTGGATCTAGAGCCAGCCCCCACCCTGCCCCATCCGCGGTCTCATCCCCAATCCTTGGCATCTTTATGACCGTTTTGCAAATCCCCTAAGAACCAGGACTCCAGCCAACACATGGAAGGACTTAACTCTGACCCCGGTTGGCTCAGGGAATCCCTGGATAGTCCTATGAGGTAAGACGGGGCTGCAGGTGGAGCACCGATGGGCATGATCTGGGTGGTATTCACAGTGTGGCTAAAAACATTAGAATTACAACTTATCTACTTACGTAGACTTCAGTGATGTTTTAGTAAACTTACTGAGCTGAGTAACTATCACCATGACCCGATTTTAGAATATTTTATCATCCCATTTACTGTTAATCCTCATCCCCACCTCTAGCCCTGGGCAACCACTAATCCACTTTCTATCTCTATAGATTTGCCTTTTTTGGACATTTCATATAAATGGAATCAAACAATTCGTGGTTTCTTATTAAAACAGTTTGGTGATCATTTTTTACACATCTCTCTTGACACATCTATGCATATCCATATATAGAGCTATAATTTTGTAAAAAAAAATGGGATCACGAAATACAAACTTTTTTTAACCACAGTTTTTTAACTGGAAAATCTAGACACATATGCCTACAGCACACCTGCCAGCCCCCTCAGCCCTCCAGGGATCAGTGTTGACCCGCCCGCCCTCCTTCTATGCCTTTCTCGACACTGATAGGATCATGTACATAGAAGGGTGGTGCGTCCTGGTGTGCCTTGCAGAGATGGGCCACAGCATTTACACAGCTTTGCCTGTTTCCTCCTTTCACCTCTGCCCTCATGTGTCCCTGACTGGAGGGCATCTGGGAAATGGAAGTGGCCTGGTGCTGAGGCATCTGGTCTACAAGGCCCTCAGTGCTCAGGGTTTGGGTTTGCAAGCATCACAATGTGCGTTGAGGATTGCTGGATTCTGGGAACTCCATAAGCGTCTGTGGGTTTCCAATCTAGAGGAGAAAGATCTGTGCCCCAGGAAAGGCAGGGTTCCATCCAAAAAGGTCTCATGAACAATAACAGGGAGGACATGCATGACAAGGACAAGCATCCCCAGCCCCCAGAACCACCACAGAGTGTCTGCTGTGCACATCTGTCCACACGTCAGCTTCTTTGAGACAAAGACGTGTCCTGCAGACACAACAGAGCATGGGGTCCTCTCAGAGCTTTCTGCCTTGTGGTACGTGAGCTAATCGCATCCTAACGGCATATGTTGAATCACGTGCTGGTTCATTCCGTGAGGTGTGTTGGCAATTTTCTAGGGCCTGTCTTGGTACTGGGGACTCCTTGGTTTTTCCTGGTGACATTAGCCAAAGCGATGACCTCCCTTGATGGAGCCAGAGGCCAAGAGGAGGCGATGAAGTCTGAATTCTCATCTCCGGCAAGCCTGCGCCCCTGCTTCTCCCAGGAGGATGTGGCCCTGCAGTTGGCTATGAAGCCAGCGGGTAATCGGCAAGGAAATGGGCACCTGCTGTGTGGAAAGCTTAAATGGAGTGACCCCAAATCAGAAGAGGAAAACACCTGTCAGATGAATACAGTACACTTGCTCGAGGCCCAGACCGGCTGGCCTGCCGCTGCATCTGGTGCCTGAGCTCCCAGAGGGGAGTCAGATGTGGTCGCGGCCAGGGAGCCTGGCCCCAGGGCTTCAGGACACCCCGCCCAAGTCGGCCCGTACAGCCTCTGCTCCTCACTCCTGGTGACAGAGTGGGAGTGCCAGGTGACAGCACTGTGTTCAGGCAACGGTGGCTATTGCCCCCCTGTAGCTCTGCCAGGCTGGGGGGGGGTCAAAGAGAAGCAGTGGGGCACCCACTCCCATCATCACAGGACCGTCTATGCCTTGTGTCCTGGATCCCAGGACTTGAGAATCTCAAGTGACATCGTGGAGGAAGGTCAGGCAGATGGCCCCCTGGGGGGTGGGACTGACCCAGGGCAACAGCTACTGGAGAGAGGTCAGATCTCTTTCAGGCTGTCACTCTGGAAGCTTCTTTCCATGCTCCTCCTCAAGGCATGAGAAACCAAAGCCCCTGTACACACACTTCTGGGGTTAAGTCACCCTGTCTGCCCAACCCTCTGCAGATTCCCCATCTGCTGGGCCTGGCGCCACCTGCCCACCCGTCATGTGGGGGCACTGGGCTAATTCCTACATTTGCAGGATTTCTCACCCAATTCTCCTGGCAGCTGTGAGATGCCATGGTGTCCCCACATGGCGCATCCCGGCCTGCTTCCCTGACGCACATCCACCCACCTCCCTTGTGCTTCGACAACAGACCCAGCCCTGTTTTGGGACTGTGCACCGAGTAAGGGGGCAAAAGGGAGCCCTGCTCACCATCGTGAGCACTGGGCATTTGCTAGGAGAACAGATACTGTATTAATCCTTCTCAGCACACACACGTCCACACATGCAACAAGAACCGTGTCAGCAGCAGTGTGCACTATTGAGCTGGACTGTGGGGATTGTCTCATGGTGTGTGTGTGTGTGTGTGTGTGTGTGTGTGTGTGTGTGTGTGTGTATCGAAGCATCAGGGTGTGTGTCTTAGATACATCCAGCTTTGAGATGTCAAAAATTTCTCCCTAACATTTCAGAGAAAATCAAAGGGTTTTTTTTTTCTTCAAAAAGAGCTATGTTGGGGCACCCGGGTGGGTCAGTGGTTGAGCATCTGCCTTTGGCTCAGGTTGTGATCCCGGGGTCCTGGGATTAAGTTCCCCATCGGGCTCCCTGCTTGGAGCCTGCTTCTCCCTCTGCCTGTGTCTCTGCCTCTCTCTCTGTGTCTCTCATGAATAAATAAATAAAATCTTAAAAAAAAAA